AAGACTTAATTCTGTAAACTAAAGGTTAATTATGCTTTAGTTGGCTCTGGATTATCGATGTTCAATTGAATGTAGACTTAAATGTTGGAAACTCACTTGTTTGAATCCATATTCCTCTTGATTCTAAGGCACAGATGCGGGATATGGATATTTAGAATAGGGTGGTGTTAAAACAATTTTTTTCATGTGTTTTTACATGTGAGGATGTGAAATGAACATGATTCTAAAGTAATTACATATGTCTGCATGTCACTTGTGCTTGCCAATATAGAAGTGCCTTTTAGAAAAACGCTAAAGCTTCCAATATTGGCCAGGTGTTCACACATGAACATTGAAACTATATGGTTTGTGGGTTTTACTTCCCTTAGACATTTGATCTTCTTGCAACTGCAGACTATAATTGTGTGCCTTGAACACCATAATAATTTGAGATAAGCACTTCTCCCTTAAAAAAACCCAATCCTTCAATAAACTCGCATTGTAACCAGTTCCCTATATAGTACATGTATATGTATGGTTTACGATCTGTTTTAGGCCTATAACACATCCACTAGTACAGACTTAAGCAGCTGTTCCACTTCACTTAACAAAATTATCTCGGTTTCTAAATTTGTTATGGAGTCCTTTGTATCATGTTTTTCTCATAAAATGGATACAAAAAAAAAAATGATGTCATGCAGAAAACAACCCGGAGAAAACAACTGTCCCAAATAGTTTAGGGAAGGGTTGCAATAAGTTGCACATGTGATTACATTTTCACGATTCTGGGGGAATTTATATTTTAACTGATAAGGCCAACAGCTTTTTTCATCGGAGTTCAATGATAGCCCTGTCTAACATATTTGATGGCTGACGGTACTCGGACATTGCCAAGTATATCTTTATCAAAATATACTTTTCCAGTGACCAGAAATGGCGAAAAGGCCTCAATTCTGCCATGTGAGGACTCCTTAAATAATCATAAAGGAGCTATTTTTCCCAGTGCTGTCATCTGAGTTCCGTTTTCCCAGTTGATTTATTTTGGTGGGTGACATTTATTTAGTTGCAGATTTATTTTATTGCATCGAATTTCATTTCAATATAGTTGATCCATGACAACTATTGAACATAATAATTATGTATTGATTTTTTATGAAAAATTAAGCCCAAACATGTTACCTAATGAAGCATAAACACCTCACACCTGATTAATTCAAGCCCGTCCAAAATTTTATGAAGTTGCTTTTATAACAATTTATCATTTGTTTCAAAAGCATAAAATTTAAGTAAGAAATTACATCTTTTGTCACCAAGGACTTTGTTTTTGTCAAGATAATAGTTTAGTCCTGGTCATCGTACTTTTCAGCCTATTGGCAAAGCGTGTCACGCTCCCAAATTTTCTGCCTGCCGCGTCTGAATTGGTGCACCATTATGCTATCTTGGCTTGTGCAGAGAAAACTACATGAGGTCAGGCCTGAAGGATCATCGTCATACAAGACTAGTTCAGAGAAAAGCAACATAACGTGAAAAATGTCATTATATGTATTTGTTGACCATCGGTTCAGCAGAAAGTCTTGAAGTGCTTCATTATACCATCCTCGTGGATACATGATGTACATGTAGCTTAGCCCAGGTTGGACGTAGGTCGAGGCGACATGAAAAATAGTATATCGACGAGAATATAATATCAAATCAGTGCTCTGAAATATATGATTGCCGAGCTTTCGGTAACTGAGTACCTTCTTCAGGGCAAGCAGATTCAGTTGAGCACTGATTTGATATATTCTAGTCGATATTCTGACCACGGTGCTACGCAGCCCTTCCAAAAAAAATGTAGTTCTGTTTTTGTCGGATCGGGGGCTTCAGACTGACCAATTAACCCACTATTGGTTACCCCTAAAATGTTCATATTTTGTTCTGCTTTAAATCTCGGTTTATGAACACAATTTGCGACGCAACCTGCTATTTTACAATCTACCTTGGTTAGCGTGTCTATATGCAGGGTTCTTGTAGTTGTACGGGAAGACGTTCATCAACAATCTGTCGATTTGCAGTGTTTAATTAACGTGTTCAATTTGTTTGTAGAGTTTTATTGGTTAAAGATGTATAAATACACAGTATTGTAGAGATCCGATTTTTGTTAAAATGAAACAGTAACTTATCTTGATAACTGAAGAATAAAAAGAGGATTACATTGAGGGCATGATGACGTGATGAACAGGCGAGAGCGATCATGCTATACTGATCAGGAAAACAGTATGCAGATGAGGTAGTATACTGACGCGCGCACGTGCGGTAAGTAGCGATCACGCACAAACTGATCGTGCTGTTGGTCGCCATTCCTTTTTTTATTCGCAGACTGAATTGGTAACTTTGGCAGTGACGAGTTGGATTTTAGAGCAATGGACAGATCGCGAGACTGTGTCGAAGTTTAAACCTCAAAGTAGGTAATTTTTCGTTTTCAAATTCAGGCCCAAGAGATCATGATTGTTCATCGCTGTTTTTGACTCTCATATCAGTCTAGTTTATTAAAAAAAAATATTTATCTAGTCATAGCTTTCTGGAAAAGTTCCCCATTTCTAAAAAAATGTATCCGGTATAACTTTTAAAATGGAACAAATCAACAGATATTAGTAAATTGCTAGCAACAGAAATGTGCCAAAGCCTTGAATACCCTCTCCCCTCGACACGGAACTGCCGGGTCCCTTAACTTCTAACGAATTTTGTGAACACCTTTTGTCTGTCTGTTTTAAGTCCACCTGTTGACACATAATACATGCTAAAAAATAGCCAGGATTTGTACAAATCGTGAAGTTTAACTTTCCCGTAGGCCCTACTGGCCGTAGTCAGCTTGCGTGCAGGCCGACTGTCACCAACGCATACGCGCATGCCACAGCCTCGCCCCCGATGAGCGACGGTTTTCGAAGCCAGTGGATTCGTTTAGACTTCAGTTTAGCTGGTTGCAGTCAGAACATGTAGTTTCGATGTGCGTGTACGCGGCTCGGAATCTCGTACGCCGAATTATTGCGCGCGCATACTGTACGAACTGCATTGGCGAACAGCTTAAACTGCCTCCACAACAATGGCAAAAGTTAACGTTACGTCCGACTTTATTTTTCCTGTTTCTGTCTTTGGTAGTGATGTGTCGAATTTCTTTACCCACCATATGTGGAGATAAGGACGCATAGGAGTTACAGGAGTGAAATTCGGTCCTTGGAAAAAGTAGAAGTTTTGCAAATTTTAGTTACAAACCTTTTCGCTCGATGTTTGCACTATTTATACCCTGGACTTCCTCCGTAACAACATAGTACGGTTATGGAGTCCACCTGGGCTAGACGTAGCTCAGCTCAGGTTTGAGCATGGGTTGAGCTAGCCCCACTAGTGTGGCACGGACTCTCACTCCCGATGGATCGGGAGTGAGAGCCCATGCCACACTAGGTTGAGCATCCAAGCTGAAGTATGGAGTTACCATGAATTAACCAAAGGTAATGCCCCCAGAAAGTACCAATTCAATAGGCCCTATACTAGCGTGCCATGTAGGCCTAATGTCCGTGACTGTATTGTCGCAAGGTCCTTTATGTTTTTTTGTCACCACTTCGCCTACTATGAAAACCTATCAGAGTTGACAATAGGTGGCGAAATTAAGCAAAGCAGGTCAACTCGTACGCCACCCAACTCGTACGACGACCAACTTGTGTGCAGTTTGGTAAAGCCGTACGCGGCCAACTCGTACACCAACCAACTCGTATGACGACCAACTCGTACGCCTAGTATAACTAATGTTATAAGAAACATTCTTAATAATTCCCGTCACTACCTTGACCGATAACGGGGATCCGACTTTCACCCGCACCCAGCAATAGTGTGAACTTGATGGAGATTTGAGTAATTTTAAAGTACGCGCTGCCGAGCTCTTGAGAAGTTCAGTTTCAATTGTAAAATTGGCTGGGTAATGTTGATGGTTGTGTACTTTGTGTTGCATTTTGTGATAAAGAGCAAGCTCCCAGGATGCTACCAAAAATGATGTTGTGTGACCAATGTTACTTTTGACACTAATATGGAAATAATAATTAGAGAAAAAATTGGTTTCTACAGTGAAACATTTACATTTAATCGATTTACATTTAAAGGTAAATTTGGTGAAAACACGGCAGCAAGTGCTTGTACAAGGTTAATGCTCCGACGCATGTATGAACCGCCCGAGTTGGGCGGCGTACAAGTTGGTCAGCGTACGAGTTGACCAGCATGCAAATTAAGTACCTGGTGACTGTACGGTCATGCATGTTACACGGACAAAACAATTTTTTCCTTCTACTTTAATCCCACAATGGAATATCATGCCAAGGATGTGCATATGACCGATCAGTATCAGTAAACAGATGACTAGAGTAGCAGTTCCAAGTAAGAACATTAAGCGCTGTCCAACCAATGGTAACACTAGTCAGTCACTCCACGCATGCCAAGTACACGTAGTAACTGCTGTGTGTCCCCACGCAAACCAAATCCAAGACCATATCGATCGCCCTTGGCCATTTGTCCTCAATCCAACAAACTTGAACAAGTTCATACGTATGGCACCAAATCAGCCAAAACTTGCAAACCCTATACAGTTGGGGTTTAATTGAGGTAGTTAGGGTTAAATATGACTTCTATAATATGTTTGCATGGTGGACACGAACAGTCTCCATATGACGAAAAACTTGAGCCTGCTGTTTGAAATACTGAGTTGAAACAACTGGATCTTCTGAGGACCATACAACTCACAAAAGACACTTGCTTCCTTGGTGTGACCAAACATCCTCCACATGGTACTTCAGTTTCCGTTTCCTTTGTTTCTATGTGTGGTATTTCAGTTGTCTCTTTCTGGAAAATTTAATTCCAGTTTTCAGATTTGTTGAAATATGTAAATTGTTTAACACTATATTTCCCTGTGGTCAAATAACAAAGGATGTGTGGATTATACATTTTTATTTGTTTAGCTATTTGTTACTAACTCCGTCAGTATTTTTGCTTTCTTCTAGTGGCATCCACTACAGTGATGAAAGCCGCCACAGGACCATCAACCACCACAAGTACACCGATCATTAAAGTTGTAATTATTCAAAGTACCCAATTAACAATCAGATTTGAGTGTCTGGACAGTCTGGACGCTTTGGGTAAACCTCTGAAAATATAAATTATGCTATTTTTCTCTGCCCAAAGCCCTCCTTTCCCACCCCTTAATTTTTTTTGGGGGGGGGAGTGAAGGGGATATCTCTTGGGTAATTTGATGGTGCTGTGAACATTTCCTCACACTCTTTTTAAAGTCCTTTGGAATTTCCCCCACAAGTATGTGAACCGGACTTGATTATCAGTCTGCTGTGGCACAGGAGATTGTAATCCCCCTCCAGCCTATATCCTCATTTACATCATGCCGGAAATCTGGCATATGAACATAAATATGAGGCCATTATGGTTCACATGGCAACCAAATTAAATAATATACATGTGCTGGTTGTAACTATTGATTTCTTAGTGCAGTGGTTCAGATTTACAATGGACTTGCAGTGGATTTGACCACACTAGTACTGCTCTGCAAATTACTAATTCCTAATGAGGGCCAGAGTCAATAGTAACAGTACATGATTGATAATTTCCATCCCATGATTTGTTCCAGGAACATGTGGATGTAGCAGATCAATTTCTTAAAAGTTTTGAAAGTATCCTGTGCTTTGTATCATGTATGCAGCTTATGTGTAGCTACTTTTCCACCAACAGCTTTGTGCATGTGCGATGGTACCACTGGACTGGCAACAACTACAGGTCCTATGACCAGCACAACACCATTTGATACAAAGACATCAAGCTCTATGGAGACACCAACAGCTACAGATCTAGAGGCATCAACTACAGAGACACCAACTACTGTAACACCAATTTCTTGTTACTGCACAACAGAATTACCTACAAGTGAAGGTACAGTATTTGTCTTTATCCACAATAGAATATTTTGGACATTTAAGACTAAGTTTTAATTATGCATTATGCATGGAGGTATCCAAGAAGAAGTTGTTTGGTCACCTGTTTGGCTTGTGGACATTGCATACAACTTGTAGTGCAATGACTGTTCCAAAGAAAGGTTGGTATAAGGTAAGAAAAAGCCAGTTAATTTTGTAAGAGGCAAATGGCTCCAGAATTGGGCATCACGTTTCCAAGTGTTTCTTTTTTTTAATCATTTAGCTTGGCATGCATGTTGGAAGGGATACTTCTCTAAAAAAATTAAGATATGCTCAGTTCAGATTTTTGAACTAAATTTCTTTAAATGTGACTCGTTACCATTCCCACGTGCTTGAATTAATCCATTCAAAGTATGCATGTAGGTTAATGTCATTATAACAATACCAAACACCACAGAGACACCAACCAGCACAGTGGAGACAACCACAGTACTACAAAGGTAATAACAGAAAGGGGAGGAGGCATATAGCTAATAGGCATTTTGATAGTGAAATTTCTTCACACTGTTTTCAAAGGGCTGTGGACATTGCCAGGTACATACAGTATCTGTAACTTCACATTATCATGAGTCTGCGATGGCTCAAGAAAGTGTATTCCTCCTTGAACCGTTCTCCTTGTGTAAATGTTGTTAATGCAAATAATTTAAACTGGGATCTCTCAAAAATATTTTTGCATTCATTAATTTATTGTAGTGCCGTGCCGAATATCCGAATATTAAATAAATTATTGAATATTCGAATAGTTTTTCCGAATGTGATTATGCAAATGCAAAATTCATGAAAAGGAAGAGAGAATTTTCTTTTGTTTTAAATGATAAAAATTGCACCATGGAGGCTTGTTTCAAGCAGATTCAAATGGAAAGTGACAAAAATCTTACAACAATTAAAAAGTAAATTATTCTTGGAAAAATTTAAAGGAATAGAAATTTTCAAAAGGTAGGAAGTATTGTTCATCTCCAAGGGTATGAGACTTCAGCTTTTTAGCTGATTTCATTTTTTTTTTGAGACAGCACACCTCTGCACTTCCTATTTGGTAAATGCACTTGAGCACACCTCTAGAACATCAACAGCTAAAATTCAACTATGAGGAATAAGGAAGCGTAACTTTAGTTGTCCCATAAATGAGGCTTTCCCACTAGGCCAGAAAACTTGATCCCTCCCAGAGTTTTATCGCTTTAGTCTTGGTACTGACAGCACTGCATTCTCGATCGACTGGTCATCTACTCAGTGTTGGGATCACAATCCCACTTCAGATAGCTCTGTATCAGCAAGCACTCTTCATTGAAACCCCATGATTGCTATCTGAGTCAAATCACCAATATTTACCTGTACATACCGTGCGCAATTCTGATATCTTCAATGCAAACTTTTCAACTGGTGGAACGAAATGAGAAATTAAATGTCTTCTAAATGAAAATTTTGCAGCAGGTCCTCCTGATTTTAGTCACCAGCTCAACAGAAGTTAGAGCCTAAATGCCCCAGCAGATCAACAACTACTAATAGCTGTGCTACAGTAGGCTGCATGTTTTATAAATTGCAATGTATTACCCAAGATCAACCTTTGTGTAGTTGTTTTGTGTCGAATCTCAAGTGATTTTTTATCTCTGAAATTGCTTGAATTCTGCCTCAGTTGTCTATGATGGGATGTACATGTATGTATTTCTGAGCCTTTTGCTAGTTCAATTTCCATAAAATCTGGTACTGGTACACTGAGTTATTTCATCGCACATAAACATAACACTTTTAATTCTCCAGACAAAATCTCAAGATTCAGGGCAAGCTTTTGTGCAGTGACCACCATCTCTGGAATGGACTTGTAAAGTTGTTCCTTTGTGCCATTCTTATCCATTTGTACAAGGTGTTTCCATCATGAAACTAAGCAAAAGTATAGCAACAGTGTCTTTGGTATTGAGAATTGAAATAGTTATATTCAGGTGAATTAAAGAACTCGGTCTACCAGATACATTAAAAATTGGCAAAGGCTTATTCAAGACCAATCTTGAAAGGCATCAGAGATTTGTCCAGTTAATCACTAATCTACAGGGACAATTGCTTGTTTCTTTGTGCAGCTTGCAGACATTTGTGGATAAAAGATGAAACTACATGTAGTTGCAAATGCTTTGTCCTCAAGAAATGTTGACATTGGTTTGGGGTTATATGGGGATGGAAGTGTAGTGACTGTCTGGGTCTGATCTTAGTCTATGATGTCCCATTTCTCTGGTTTACCGGTAGATATCATCTTAAAAGTCTGTTGCTTGTGGTCTTTTGTGATGGCCAGGTATTAGTATTGTTGTCCATTGATCATGCAGTAGTCGGCATGTTCATCATGAGAAACCAGTATGGCGCTTGAAGCATCTGCTTGGATTTTGTTATCCTGAGATATTTGTTTTGTTCTGCCCCAGATAGGTGTAGTTTGCTTAAATTTGCAGGCAGTTTGGTTTGATAATTTCAAGTCCTGTTGGAGGGAATAGAATTTGTGATCTTTTCTGTGGTTATTAATTAGTAAAATAACCTTTGTAAGTTCTTTCCATATCTTGAAAGTTTAATCAGTAATTTATTATATTTTAGATTATTCTAGCTGCTCTGTATTATGTGTGTAGCTTCTACTTTTCCACCAACAGCTTTGTGCATGTGCGATGGTACCACTGTAATGGCAACAACTACAGGTCCTATGACCAGCACAACACTATTTGATACAAAGACATCAAGCTCTATAGAGACGGCAACAACTACAGAGGCAACAACAGCTACAGAGGCAACAACCACAGAGGCAACAACAACTACAGAGGCAACAACAACCACAAAGGCAACAACAGCTACAGAGGCAACAACCATAGAGTCAACAACAGTTACAGAGGCAACAACAACCACAGAGGCAACAACAGCTACAGAGGCAACAACCATAGAGGTAACAACAACTACAGAGGCAACAACCATAGAGGCAACAACAGCAACAGAGGCAACAACCATAGAGGCAACAACAATTACAGACGCAACAACCATAGAGGCAACAACAGCTACAGAGGCAACAACCATAGAGGCAACAACAGCTACAGAGGCAACAACAGCTACAGAGGCAACAACTACAGAAGCAACAACAGCTACAGGGGCAACAACTACAGCGGCAACAACAACTACAGCGGCAACAACCACAGAGGCAACAACAACTACAGAGGCAACAACCACTGCAACACCCATTTGGTGTTACTGTACAACAGAATCACCTACAACCGAAGGTAGAGTAAGAGTATTATCACATCTGTGTCCATAATAGGATGCTTGGATGTGCGAAGTTAATTTTGATGCATTGGATGTCCAGGTAGCGGTTGTTTGGTCAGCTGTTCAGCTTGTGGGTGTGGCAGACTGCATACAACTTGTAGTCCAAAATTGGCCGGCAGAAAGGTTACCATTATTAGGGAAGAAAGAATCATTCCCATTGTTAACTTTGTAGATGCACTTGGCTCCAGACTTATGCATCCTGTTTTGACTATGAATATACAGTTTTTTTCTTTTACATGTGCATCATGTAGCTTTGCATATATACATACGCCTTCTTCATGAAGGGATGCACATGTAAAGATTCAAATATTTTGTAATTCTTGTTTTTGAAGTTATTTTTCTTTGAAAATCATTTGTAACCATTCTGCCATGCTTGAATTTCATTGAAATTACAAGTGAATGTCTGGAGAACAACTACCACTAACAGACAATGTTGTTTCTGAGACCTTGGTATCTGAGACGGAGACCAAGGCATTCGAGACAAAGACCGAGTCCAACTCCTTGAAGAGAGAGACCAAGGTTTCAAGACCAAGACCTGGACTTCTGAGACCAAGACCGAGACCAAACTTTAAAAAGCTAAACGAGGACAAGCAACTTAAGACGATAAATTTACACTAAACATATAAAAAGATTAACATATGCAAACCATCAAACATAAATAGATTAAATATTTCTTCAAGACTTGACACTTTTTTATATTACCTGTGGGAAATACAATGTAGTTGTAATGAGCATGAGCTGCAGACTTTAATTACAACAATGAACTCCCAAGCATATCTTCACTTAATTTCAACTGTGATATTGGTATGTGGCATATTTATATGTTTCATACAAACCTATTGGGCATGATGTGTAAAATACCAAATTACGAAATGATCCTTACATTAATGCTGAATGTCTGAGTTTACCAGTGAAACTATTTTCGTGATAAATGGACTTGTTAGAAAGGTCAGTTGAAAAAAAGTACCCACTGATTTGGTATTTCCCTACTGAATGTATGAAATCATCATTTTCAACCCGAGGGACGTCACTGATATAAACATTAAAACCTTTTTCCGTGAGCAAAAAAATCAATATAAATAAGATTTCGATTTATTGAAATGACAAATGAGGGAAAGAAAAATGGCATAAGGTTTAACATACTTTCCACCTCCACATGCAATTGAGAACATGAGAGGTTCTCTTTCCACTAAGCGTTAGAGTTTCAAGGATTTTAGCTGAAACTCTAACTCAGTGGGGATACATGTACATTGTTATTCTATCTGTGTTAGAATACATGCTGAACTGGAGCACTCAAACCTGGTGCAGATAAGACTGATGCTTCCATGTTGCTAAGTGAGGGATGCTTTGTGTGGTGCTACTTCCAAAACTTGTGAACTTGTTTTACATAACAGCGTCACATCAAATAGTCTTAATGCAAATCATGCTTTGTGCACAGTGTTCCCTACCCCTTTTCTGCTCCCCTTCAGTTCCCTGTACATGTACTTCTTATAACCAAACCACTACTGCCAATTCATTTGACATGGCACTGCCCTGACGTTTCTCCAATTTGAAGTTCTTGAAGCTGATGATATCACAAAATCTCAAGGCTGTTTCCTATGCTGGAAATACTGCATTGACTAGTCATGAAAAATTTAACATTATGGTGTCATATTTACGTCCATGTTTGGATGACTCTTGCTGAGGTCAGCTGGCGAGTGTATTCATAAGTGGTAGCTACGTACATGTAGGTGCATATTTTGATGTGGTCTCGACAGGTCTCAAGGGGGAGACCCGAGACTTTGACATCCGAGACTGAGACCAAGACCCAAAGCAGCACTTTCGAGACCGAGACCAACCCTCCCAAGACGGAGACTTTGATAGGACGAGACCAAGACCAAGGTCCCCAAAAGAGGTCTCTGAGACTGAAACCAGGTCTCAAGACCTACAACACTGCTAACAGACATCATCCTCCACAGGGATAACAAACACAGGCACAACAACCACCAGGGAGACAACATCCATCACAGAGGAGACGACCACT